GCGACAACAAGCGAGAGGGCGGCGCGACAAGAAAACACGGGTCAAATTTGCCAACTTTAGAGTGGGGATTTTGTCCTAGTCGGCACCGTCGTTCAACGGTCTACGAAGCTTGCGCTGCAGTGGCGTGGGCCACAACAGGTCGTTCGCGTGGTCACGGATCACGTGATGGAGACGCAACAACTGGTTGCGCCCTTCGATTTGTCCACGCACCATGCGTGACGATTGAAGATGTACCACGAAGGCGGACGTGAGGTTACAGATGACCTCGTGGATCAGATCGCCTTAGGCGATGGCGCTTTCTACGTTGAGCACCTGGAAGAAGTGCGTGTTGCGGCGGACGACCGCTACGAAGTTCTAGTCAAGTGGCTCGGCTTGGATGCCGAGGAATCGTCCTGGGAGCCGGTCGACAACTTGCTTGAAGACATCCTGGTAGTTCTGCGCAAGTGGTGCGCTGCTCACAAGGACGAATATCATGTCGCGGACATGATAGCCAACCTAGGTCTCCCTTAGAGGAGGGAAGTGTTCTGCGCTGCAGAGCAGTTGGGTCGCCCGATCGTTTGACCCATTGCAAACCACGCTAGCAGGCTAGTGGTGGATGACCTAGTTGTGTAGTATTACTATAGACCGTAGTCAGTAGCCACGAAGTTCGTGGCCCCTCAGCCCTCTGAAGTAATTCAGTCTTGGATTTGCCTTACGAGAAGGTAACTTTGCGGTCGGAAGCCGTGAAGGACGAACACGTTCAATGGATCACTGTCTGCGCCGGACCTAGGATCAGCGTTGATATTGCTGTCGTCGGCGATGTCGCTTTGGAAGTTGATGGCGATGGCCTCGACAACGACGTCGGGCATGATCATAAGTGCAATGGAAAATGCCAATTACCCACCTCTCAACAAGGAGCGCAGTCCGCACCGTCTTAAAAACCGATTTTCCGAATAAAACCCGATTTTGTTTGACCTCAAACAATTGGGTTTTATATTAAAACCTGAAAAAATCTGATTGTAAAAAAACAGGGTCCGCCACCCTTGATATGAAAATGCGATCTGACACACTAGGATAAGAATGTCCATGAGCGATGCGCGCGTAAAATCAAACAACAATGCAGCATGCGCAGCAAGGTCCTCCTACTTCACCGTCGGCGCCGTGCAATCAACCAGCGACGACGCGCCGTATGGATCTA